CTCCACGTTGACTGCCCAAGATCGATGGGTTGCCAACCTCCATATTTTAGTGTAGTGTATACAAAGTGATAGTATTGGCATGAGAGCATTATTTTTTTCAGTTTTAGGGGTTATGGTAAGGTGCACCTAAGGATTAAATATGTACACTAAAATTCCATAGGGTAGGGTAAGTATGTATATGCCAGCAACAGAAATGGGAGTTCATCTGACTCGATTTGCCCTGAGCTCTAGGTAAATGAATAGCAGCTCTCCCCTTCCCACCTTAAGAGGTCAGATGGAGTATGAGGAGGCAGAGTTTATGATTTGCAGGAAAATTTCTTACTGTGAGTCAGCAAGCCCACTTTCCCTATGCACAATTCATGAGAGAGGTTCAGGAGACGGACACCACGCCATGGTTTTGATGTGGTAAAGGATACTACAGATCTGCGAGTTTTAAAATGGCATTTTTGCTGTAACAGATTTTCTAACAGATAGTCTGGCTGTAAAAAGGCACAAGCCCATCAAGTTCAGCCATAAAAAAAAAAAAAAAAATCGTAACAATTCTACACTCACAGTTGATCCAGAGGAAGGCAAAAAAAAAAAAAAAACCCAGCAAAGCATGATCCACTTTGCTCCTGCAGGGGAAAAAATTCCATCCCGATCCCCCGAGAGGCAATATGATATTCCCTGGATCAAATTGACCTATAAATGTTATATCCAGTTATATTCTGTGTATCCAAGAAAGAATCCAGGACTTTTTTTGAAGCAATCCACTGAGTGGCCAGAACTAACTCTTGAGGGAGTCTATTCCACATTTTCACAGCTCTCACTGTGAAGAAACCTTTCTATGTTTGGAGATTACATTTCTTTTCCTCCAGACGTAAAGAGTGCCCCTTGTCCTCTGTGATGACCTCAGGGTGAATAACTCTACACCGAGTTCACTATATGAACCACTGATGTATTTATACATGGAGATCATATCCCCCCTTATGTATTATACATGGAGATCATATCCCCCCCCCCCTTATGTATTATACACGGAGATCATATCCCCCCCCCCCTTATGTATTATACACGGAGATCATATCCCCCCCCCCTTATGTATTATACACTGAGATCATATCCCCCCCCCCATGGAGATCATATCCCCCCCCCTTATGTATTATACACTGAGATCATATCCCCCCTCTACATGGAGATCATATCCCCCCTTATGTATTCTACATGGAGATCATATCCCCCTTATGTATTCTACATGGAGATCGTATCCCCCCTTATGTATTCTACATGGAGATCATATCCCCCCTTATGTATTCTACATGGAGATCATATCCCCCTTATGTATTCTACATGGAGATCATATCCCCCCTTATGTATTTACATGGAGATCATATCCCCCCTTATGTATTATACATGGAGATCATATCCCCCCTTATGTATTATACACATGGAGATCATATCCCCCCTTATGTATTATACATGGTGATCATATCCCCCCTTATGTATTATACATGGAGATCATATCCCCCCTTATGTATTCTACATGGAGATCATATCCCCCCTTATGTATTCATATCCCCCCATACATGGAGATCATATCCCCCCTTATGTATTCTACATGGAGATCATATCCCCCCTTATGTATTATACATGGAGATCATATCCCCCTTATTATGTATGGAGATCATACATGGAGATCATATCCCCCCCCCTTATGGTATTATACTACATGGAGATCATATCCCCCCCTTATGTATTCTACATGGAGATCATATCCCCCCTTATGTATTATACATGGAGATCATATCCCCCCTTATGTATTATACATGGAGATCGTATCCCCCCTTATGTATTATACATGGAGATCGTATCCCCCCTTATGTATTATACATGGAGATCGTATCCCCCCTTATGTATTATACATGGAGATCGTATCCCCCCTTATGTATTATACATGGAGATCGTATCCCCCCTTATGTATTATACATGGAGATCGTATCCCCCCTTATGTATTATACATGGAGATCATATCCCCCTTATGTATTCTACATGGAGATCATATCCCCCCTTAATCTCCTCTTCTTAAGAGAATAAATTCAGTTCTTCTAATCTTTCCTCATAGCGGATCTCCTCCATGCCTCGTATCAGTTTGGTTGCCCTTCTCTGTACTTTCTCCAGTTCCCCAATGTTCTTTTTGTGAATTGGTGCCCAAAACTGAACTGCATATTCCAGATGAGGGGTTACTAATGATTTGTACCGGGTTAACATGATATCTCTCTCTGGAGTCTATACCTCTTGTAATACAGGAGGATTTTGCTTGTTTTAGAAACCACAAGCTTAATAATGGCATGCAATGCCAAGCTGAGATCTACCAGAACCCCCAGATCCTTCACCATTGATTCCCCCAGTTATGCCCCCCCCAGTATGTATGATGCATGCATATTCTTATCCCCCAAGTGCAGAACCTTACATTTATCAACATTAAACCTCATTTGCCACATAGTTGCCCAATTACATAGAGCATTGAGGTCGGCTTGTGAGTTGGAGACATCCTGTAAGGACGTTATTCCACTGCACAGCTTGGTGTCATCTGCAAAGACTGAAATGGGATTTATAATCTCAGACCCTATATTGTCTATAAATATATTACAAAGTAAGGGTTCCAACACTGAATGGTCTAGGGGTGTCAGTGGTGTACCCCAAGGTTCAGAGTATGAATCATTAACCACTACTCTCTGAATACCATCTTTTAGCCAGTTTTCGATCCATTTACATACAGATTTTTCTAAGCCCGTAGACTTTACCTTACACATTAGTCATGTTTGGGGAACTGTGTCAAACACTTTTGCAAAATCCAAGTATATCACGTCCACCGCCACCCCTCTGTCCAAGTATACCACGTCCTCCACCACCCCTGTCCAAGTATACCATGTCCACCGCCACCCCTCTGTCCAAGGTTTTGCTCACCCCCTCATAAAAAGAAATCAGATTTGTTTGAAAACTTCTGTCTTTCATGAATCCATGCTGTCTGTTGCTTAAAATTTTATTCCAGCTAGAACTCATCTATGTGGTCTTTTATTAAACTCTCCAGCATCTTCCCAACTATAGAAGTTAAACTAACAGGTCTATAATTACTTGGTAAATATTTTGACCCCTTTTTAAATATTGGCACCACATTGGCCTTACACCAATCCAGTGGTACTATGCCAGTCATTAAAGAGTCCCTAAAAATGAGACACAAAAGCTTTGAAATGACAGAGCTCAATTCTTTAAGGACCCGTGGGTGTATGCCATCCGGTCCAGGTGCTTTATTCACCTTTATTCTGTCTACATATTTTTGGATCATATCAACTGTGAGCCAATGTGGATCATCTGGAGCTGTGTCAATACCATGCCCATTATGGAGCAGAGCTCCCCCATGATCCTTTGTATACACAGAGCTGAAGAAGGGATTTACAAAATAATCTAGAGTGGGTGACTGGAGACAAAAAAGGCGGCACATTTATTAAAAGGGCCTACATGCTCAGACCGGACCTTTTTACTATTAATATATTTGAAGAATTTTTTGGGGTTGGTCCTGCTATCTTTTGCAATCTGTTGTTCATTTTCAATTTTTGCAGTCTTTACAAAGAATATAACAGAATATGCAAAAAAGGAAATAATGTTTAAACGATGATAGCGTTCCTTCATTTTTATATTAAATAAAAGCTCTTTTCTTATTATCTATAGCTTTTTTAACTTTGGCTGTAATCCACATAGGTTTGATTTTTAGCCTTTTAAACTTGTTGTCCATGGGAGTATATTTTGCAGTGTGTTCACAGTCTTTAAGAACTCCTATTTCTGTGTTGTGTTCATCAATGCCAATATTCCCTCCCAGTCTAAGTCTCGGAGAGCAGCTCTCAGCCTTGGAAAATTAGCTCTTTTAAAATTGAGCGTTTTTATTTTTGCCATGCTTGCTGTTTACAGCTAACAAATGAAATCATGTTATAGTCACTGCTACACAGATGTTCTTTTATATGGACATTCATAATAAGCTCTGCATGGTTTGAGATTATCAGGTCCAGCAGAGCATCATTCTTAGTTGGGGCCTCTATGAACTGTACCACAAAATTGTTCTGTAGCAGGTTACCAAAATTTGGCCTTTTAACTGTTACTGCAGTACCATTACTCCAGTCAATTTCCAGGTAGTTAAAATCCCCCATCACTGTCCCAGCCCTTGCAATCTATGCAAGGAGCAGAGTCTCCACCTCCTCATTAACACTGGGTGTCCTATAACAAACTCCAATAATTACCTTTGTAATACGGACCACCATGTGCAGTTCCACCCATAATGCTTCAGCCTCATCACACTCCCCATCAACTAGGTCCTTTTTCACACTTGCTTTGAGATCACTTCTCACATAGAGACAGACACCACCACCTTTCCCATTAACCTGTCTCTCCGAAAGAGAACATAGCCAGGAATATTACCCTCCCTAGCGGTCTGTGCTCAAAACGGTACATTTTTTTGCATGGAAATATTTTTTTTTTATTGTAGGCCTGTAATTCTTAGGAATAGCTCATTCAAATCTGTCTGAACAAGAGTCTAGTAAACATCCCGGGTATAATAAAATTTGAAACACAAAATCATAAATATAATAAATCATAAAAAAAATTAATAAAATTCAATATAATGAAACCAAAAAAACACTGAAATTTTAAATATAGCATTAATTTCGCAAATCAATGAACTTAGTCGCAAAATCGTTTTCAGTGTCTGTTGAGGAATTTCCCCACTAATCATTATCACTCAATTCTGCAAGTGGTTCTGATTTACCATCGCTGTTCTCTAGCTGGTCTAAAACTGCTTTTGACCTAAAAAGGGACACTTTTTGGACGCCATGGACATTTCTCAGTTTCCAGGCAGAAAGATCAGTAAAAATGCAGGCAGGGCGCAGGACAAAGCACTCGGGACAAAATGTATGTGAAATGGTTTGATACAGGAATGTTATACTATGTGATTTTAGTGTATTTAGTGAATGTCACTTTTTAAAATTTTTAAATTTCCCGCCGGTTCCGGCCCCCGTATGTCCCAACGCTCACAGGGACCGGAACCAGGAAGACGGATGCCAGCATCGGCCGGAGGAGATAGCCAGGGACGCTGCAGGGGACACATCGTGGGAGCGCAGGACAAGGTAAGTGATCGAGGGAATCCCAGAGCAACGCTGCAGGGTAATCCCGAGTGTAGCTCGTGGTTACCACTTTTGGCACTGATAATTAACCCCGAGCTACACTCCAGAATACCACCAGGGAGGTTAATGGCCCAGTCATGTGAAGAACGAAGCCAAGATTTAGCAATACCAAATAAAATCATAGTTCTCCATGCACCAAAGCTTCCAACCAGGGACGGACTGACCATTTGGAAACTCGGGCACTGCCCGAGGTCAGTAGGGGGCCCCATGAGATGCCCCTGGTACCTTTTTCATAGGCTTTTTTGAGTTTGGGCAAGGACACGGGCCCCATGATCCCCTATTGCCCGGGGGCCCCATGAATTGTCAGTCCACCCCTGCTTCCAACTCACCATATTTGCTTGGCAGACTTCTGGCATTGGTGAACAAACACTAATTCATTGACACCTTGATCACACATGTTTTGCATATTTTTTATTTTCATACAAATGGTACGAATCCCTACTGACCCCGGGCAGTGCCCGAGTTACCAAATGGTCAGTCCGCCCTTGCTACAAAGTGACCTCGTGCAGGAGGCAAGACAGTGTGCCACTGAAAAAGACATTGTGTGCCTGCCTTGGCTCGCATGCCCCTGGGTGTTTCGGTCAATCGGTTATCTTACCTTGCATGCAGACTTTAAGGCCATCAACAATCTCTTGCCTTTTGTCCTGGACCACACATCGAGAAAACCAACTAGAATGGAACAGAGCATCACACTATTAAAATGAATAAAATAGAAAGCTAGTTCTTTAGTTAACTGGATGCTACACCAAAGGCACGGTCCACATTCAGCTCACATGATCAGGAAAGGTCCTGATCGACAGCGCGTACCGGACATGTGTGCTGGAAGCGTGCTCGCTCTCAGCACGTTTTTCTTAATTGCACGCAAATGTGCGGCCGCTCGGCGTCAAGGCCTAGATACTGGGAGGCCGCATATTTGCGTGTGGAGGTTAAGGGAATTCCTTGGGGACCCACATATCTTCAGAACTTGTCCCCATTGTAAAATGTCCCCTCTATTACTTTTCTGGGGGCAACCAAAAATTTTTAGTTTTCTTTACGTTCACTTTCAATGATAATTGTAAAACAGGACAAATAGAGGGGGTCAGTCTCCCTAATGAGGGCGCAGACACCAATAAAAACTGACAGGTGTTCTAATTCCTCTCTTTGTTCAAAAATAAAATGTTTTGTCTTTAGTTATATAACTCTAAACTCCAAAAGCAGCCATGATAAATTGCATAAACAATAGGGCGAGAATGTACACAATAGGGCGAGAATGTACACACTAGGGCGAGAATGTATACTAGGGCAAGAATGTATACACTTCACAACTGAAAAAAGCATTACATCTCTGTTGTCCGACCCTCTTGCTTTACGCACTACCATCTTGCATAACATGACAGGTGCACTTTAATTTCCACTCCCTTTCAGCTGGAAAGCTTCATGACACTGCCATCTTACCGAGTCATTCCTTTGTTCATGCTGGCAACAAAACCAGCAATTGATTTTTTTCCTTCCAGGGTGTCATGGTAGATATCAATCCCAATCACCATCATGCGCTCCACCTGCAAGACAATACAACAAAGAATTCCAGCCATTAGTCAGTGATAAAGCAAGAGGTTGAGCATGACAGCCAGGCAACTAGAGTTTTCAGGTGAGGTCACAAGTGGCATTTTCCACAGATTGTAAACCCTATGAATTAACTCTTATTTACTCCTTTCTGGTCTGTTAAATACATCTTTGAAAGCATTTCGGTATATCTGTTCAATGGGCTACTTTCCCACGGAGGAGTTTTTGCTTAAAAAAAAAAAAAAAAAAAAAAAAAAAAAAAAAGGAAAAAGCTTCTCAGAGGATTTTCAGGCCTTTTTTTTTTTTTTTTTAAGTCACAAGTCCTTTAAAAAAAATGCTCAGAAAGTGTGGCAAAAGCACGGTAAAAATGCCTATGCGTATTTGCAGCGAATCAGTGTGAAAGTAGCCCAAGTGTGAAACAATATTTGTTGATCATTTCAGAAATGTAGAGCTTTCCTGTGAATGATTCAAGTGTTATTCCAAGGGGTATAATCAGCCCACCCAGTTTCCATCTTGGACTAGAGAACAATTAATCTCGATATAGTAGAGATGGTAAAGAGGGAGGAAGGAATTTTGTAGTTTAGTAAAAAGACAACTGATCCCAGTTCTTACAATTTCAATCCACAAAATGTAGCGCATCACCAGCCCACCACAGGATATGTTTGGCAGAACAGGTAATTTTCTGTACTTTAACATGGAAAAATATGCACATCTTGCAAAAATGTACAGAATTTTTCTTTGCAGTGACATAAAAGAAAAAAAAAAACCACCACACAAAAACAAAAAAAAACAAAAACCACTTTAATTGGGAATACTGCTTAAAAAATTGGCTCACTAGTAGCTTTAATACTGAATATAGGCTGTATAAAAAGGATAAGTTCACCTTTCATAACATGTTACACCTGTATTCAGGGTGTAGCATGTTATGAAATGACATGCCAGTAGATGAGGATTTCTCCTTCCTGCGGTGTGCTTCATATCAAGAACTTGTCAGTGGCATAATGGCAAGCGCGACATTGGCCCAAGAGCGGTTAAGCTGTGTAATGTGCTACCACATCTGGCTGTAATGACAAGACCAGCAATGGAATAAATAAATGGTATGCCTATTCTTTAACACTAAAAATGGTAGCCACTTCCCCCATTTTCTTTCCTATGGAAATATTTTGATCTAGAGAACTGACCTTACCTTGTGGAGTCAGGTAGGATACCCCTTGCCTAAAGCTACCCAGGAGACTTGTATTCATGTTGGCCAAAAAACACCAGCATTCTTAAGTGGCTGAACTAGACCTACATTTTTTTTTTTTTTCTTCATGTCTAACTCTTCCATTTCCAGATGCTGTCCAGAGCCTTTTTTTAATCATGAAAAATACATGCAAAGCGCTTTCCCGGTACTCAAATGGACCCGGTACACAATACTTTGAGGTTTTGCATGAAAGAAAATATGTTGGACATTGCTGCAATAATGTCTGCACAGAAATGAGCTGGAACACATCCAAACATCAACAAAAAAATACTGCTCTTTACTTCTGCTTTCTCTCAAAATGTCTGAAATAGTTAAATTTTTTACTGTTTTTCAGTGCATTCTGGGCATTTTGGAAGGTCAAAGATCCATAATATAATAAAATAAACTTATCCGGTTTTTAAATAGCAATTGTGCTTTTGCTTTTATATATGTTTATTTTATGGATTTTCTATATGGATTTTTTTTTTTTTTTTTAATTCTATATTATAGGATTTTTTGTATACGATATTTTATGATTTTTTATTATTATTATTATTATTATTATTATTAGGTATATATTTTTACAATAATTATTTAATTTTTTCTATTATAGATACTTTTTATTGCTAATCGATCTCTAACCAGCGATTTGTATGCCAGTTGTACAATTAAGCTCTCAATTTTTTCCATCATTTATTTCCACCCATTTTTTAAATCTATATCTATCTATATTTTTTTGTGTATATTGTTTTTATATATATACTTTTTCTGTATGTGTTTGACATTATTATTATATATATTGCCATTTTTTTATTTTTATAAGAGTATTCTTATGTGTATTGTTCTGCTCATCTACAGTATCACCACCTGTTATACCATTTTGAATATTCATGTAATATTTTGAGGGGAATTTGTATTTATGTTTTTTTGATCAGCTCTGATGAAAAAGGGAGCACCCTTCGAAACGCGTTAGTTTTTATCCCCCCCTTTGGATTTACCTGTAACCCCGCGTGGATATGGTTTACTTATGCCTGTTTTACCATCACCTTTGTAAGTATATTTCCTAAATTAAATTAGTCACTATTTATTGAGGTAATGCGCAAGGTTTGTGCGCCCTTTCATCCTCTTCTACATTTTGGAAGGTCTCCGGAGGTAATCTTTAAAAAACGCTTCTAAAACGCAAACGCTCATAAATGCGGTATGCAAAACGCAGCTAAACAGATGTTTTTTAACCTACGTTTTCCAGCAGTCAGTTTCCATCGTTCAGAAGTGTACCATGTACATGGGGCCTTACTGCTCCTAAACGCTGCTGCAAAACTCTGATAAAAGCCTGTGTGCATGGACACATAGGCTTTTATTGAGTGGAGTTTAGGGAATTTGGCCAAGAACCGCCAAAACCATTTAGGAGTAGGGGCGGACTGACCATTTGGAAACTCGGGCACTGCCCGGAGGCCCGGGGTCAGTAGGGGGCCTCATGAGATGCTCCTGGTACCTTTTTCATAGGCTTTTTTGAGTTTGGGCAAGGACACAGGGTCCCCATGATCCCCTATTGCCTGGGGGCCCCATGAGTTGTCAGTCCGCCCCTGTTTAGGAGCAGCAGTGTTTATGAGGCCTTACACACAGCGCTCGTAGCACTTACTCAGGTAGTAGTGGGGTGTAAAATTACTACTGACATTCTAAGCAAGATGCTCTGAATAAAATGCACGAGCACATGGAAAGTATTTTTACATTATACAGTAGGAGTGACTTGCCGGTATCTCCACGCTCCAAAGTTCCCCTCCCAGTTTACAGTTCATCTGAAGAGCAATCTTGGTACACACGGACATGATGGTCTGGGGCTTGCTCAGGGTCTTGGAGACCACACACTGGCTTGGTATGGGGACATCCACACACAGGTACTTCTTTATACCATCATACTTCATCTTGTGTATACTGGACAGTATACACACTACCTGAAAAGGGAAATGAAGGAAGAGATGCTTTAGAAATCTAGACCAGAGCACCTGCAGTAAAAAAGGAGCACATATTGCAGGTCAGGGATGGAAAAAAAAAAAAAAAAAAAAAAAAAAAAACACACACATTCAAGTCAGGTTGCCTTCATATCTTAAATGTGGATATCCAATCAGCCATAAATACCAAATAGTATGTGTCCCTCTCGCCAAAGTTTTAAATGTTTGTTTAGTCTAGGGGAGGATTCAAGTAAAGCAATACTTACCTTATTCCTCCATCCCCTGGCAGCCAGGCAAACTCCTCCACTCTCAATATGGATGGGCTTTTGACTCTCAAGTACAATGCAGACCCTCCTGATCTTGCATTGCACATGACAGAAAGGGAGCAGCCACACAACCGCAGTAAAGAAATGGCTTCATGGGACCAGTCTTAGACTGGCCATACACTATACAATATTCTGTCCAATTTCTGCCCAATTTCCTTTGGATTTACCTTCAACTGTGTAGTGCAAGGGCCTACCTAATTGAATAAAATTGAAAGTCTTGTTTGGGTTTGACCTCCTATTATATGGTTTTTGGTAAATCTAAAGCAAAAATCTCAAGAAAATTGTATAATGTAAGGCCAGCCTTACAGGGACGAAAGCCTGCAGGAATGTGGAAGGGGGGGCAGTTAACTTTTTTTTTAAAAAAAATCGCCTCTAGATTAACCACTTGCCTACCAGGCACTTATACCCCCTTCCTTACCAGGCCAATTTTCAGCTTTCAGCGCTGCCGCACTTTGATTGACAATTGCGCGGTCATGCAACATTGTACCCATATGAAATTTTGATCATTTTTTTCTCACAAATAGAGCTTTCTTTTGGTGGTATTTAATCGCCACTGGGCGCTTTACTTTTTGCGCTATAAATTAAAAAAAGTGCAAAAAATTTGAAAAAAAAAAAAAGTTTATTTGTTTCTTTTATAAAATTTTTCAAACAGGTATTTTTTTCTCCTTCACTGATTTGCGTTGATGAGGCGGCACTGATGGGCACTGATAGGCGGCACTGATGGGCACTGATAGGCAGCACTAAAGGGCACTGATAGGCAGTACTAATGAGGTGGCACGGATAGGCGGCACTGATACACAGCACTAATTAGGGGTCACGGATAGGCGGCACTGATAGGCGGCACTGATAGGTGACACTGATGATGGGTACTGATAGACGGCACTGACTGGCATCACTTCTGGGCACTGACTGGCGGCACTGACTGGCACAACCCCTGGGCACTGACTGGTGGCACTGACTGGCAGCACTGGTGGGTGGCACTGGTGGGTGGCACTGGTGGACAGCACTGGTGGACAGCACTGGTGGGTGGGCACAGGTGGGTGGCGCTGGTGGGCACAGGTGGGTGGCGCTGGTGGGCACAGGTGGGTGGGCACAGGTGGGTGGCACTGCTGGGCACATGTAGGTGGCACTGCTGGGCACAGGTAGGTGGCACTGCAGAGTGGCACAGGTGGGGGCACTGCTGGGCACAGGTGGGGGCACTGCTGGGCACAGGTGGGGGCACTGCTGGGAATGGGTGGGCGGGGTTAGTGGGCGCACAGCTGATCGGAACTTGCGGGGGTCACTGCTGGGCACCGATCATCAGGGCACTGATCATCAGTGCCCTGATGATCGGTGCCGATCCCCGCTCTGACAACTGCCGGTTCTCGGCAGTACTTTCCTCACGATCTGACAGCGTGAGGAAAGTGCAGCCGAGAACCGGCACTTGCATTTTCCTGTGATCAGCGTGTCATTGGACACCGCTGATCACGTGGTAAAAGGCCGGTGGGATCGGCCTTTCACCACATCTCGTGATCAGCTGTGTCCGTAGGACACAGCGATCACGGAGATCGCCGGGTGCGCGCCCCCTGGGGCGCGCAGGAGAGCGCGTTCTGGGAGGACGTCATATGACGTCCACTCAGAACTGGCCGGCCGCGGTGAAGCCGTCATTCGGCTATGCGCGGTCGGCAAGTGGTTAAACTACCATTTAAACCTCTTTATCTGGAAAAGAGAACAAAGAGGAAGGTGCATTACCGAAAGCTTCTATTAAAAACACAAATGCTAATTTCATACTCACAAAAGGAGATAGGATACAAGCAGTATATCACACCAAACTCAGATCCTGTGGTAGTAGAGTCACCTGGTCCAAAGCATCACTCAGCTGGTAGGTTTCTGTGTTCTGGGGGACACACCTCGTTCCTCAGAGCTACGCCAAACAAAGACTCACATCCCACATGGTGCATTCACCAAAAAGCATTAGCCTGCCGACTGACTGGTGCTTTGGACCAGGTAACAGTCTACTACCACTGGACCCAAGTTTGGTGAGATATACTGCTTGTAGCCCATCTTCTTTAAGTAAGAAAATTGGCATTTGTGTTTTTTTTTTGTTTGTTTTTTTAATAAAAGCTTCCTGTATTGCACTAGGTGTTTGCATCCTCCTGTTTGTTCTTTTTACAGTTGCATGTTAAAGTTCACCTTTCATAACATGTTACGTGTTTACCCATATTCAGGGTGTAACATGTTCTGCAAGAACTGGCCCCCCCGATACTCCTTGCCTTGAGAGCTAGCCGGGGATCTTCAGCATTCCATCTGCAGATCCAAGTGCTCCACATTGTATACAGTTGGGACCAGGTAATGCATAAATCCTAGGTTTGTTATTTTTGTGCTGGTTATCTTGGGTGTGGGGAATCTCATACTTCGGCTCCAAGGAGCAGGGCCCTCGAACCCCTCCTGTATTGTTACTGTATTGTCTCATGTACTGTCCCCCACTATAATGTACAGCGCTGAGCAAACTTTTTGGCACTATATAAATACTGTATGATAATAATCTCATACACACAATGAGAATATTGTCTTTTTGCATGCTAGTCTCATATAAAAAAAAAAAAAAAAAGGAATAGGTTACTAAAGTTACAAATATCTCGTATGACAGAATACAGCTTCAGAAGTGATGTAATGTAATGTATTCTTTCGTTTACGATCATGCACAGTCTGGTCACTTGATTTTTTTTTTCAGAGGAATACTGTACTGATTAAACAAAACTCATTCCTTCTAGTATCACAAGAGATTATCCTTTGGATAATTTCGCATGAACTGTCGCTGTATACGAATGATTAGAGAACGATCAATTCGAAAGCGGTATTTTTCGTCCAATTTTCTCATTGTGTGTACTTGGCATAAGTGCTACTTTAACCTCCCTGGCGGTATTCCCGAGTGTAGCTCGGGGTAAAATGTCAGTGCCAAAAGCGGTAACCCCAAGCTACACTCGGGCTTACCATGCGGTGCTGCATAGGGAGTCCCTGCAGCGCTTACCTTGTCCTGCGCTCCCGCAATGTGTCCCCTGCAGCGTCCCCGGCCATCTCCTCCGGCCGATGCCGGCATCCGGCTTCTGTGTTCCGGTCCCTGTGATGTCGGGACATACAGGCGCCGCCAGCGGCGGGAAAATTTGAACATTTTCAAAAATGTAATTTTTCAAAACAAATTTTTTTCATAGTAAAACATTGCTGTTTCAACCCATTTCACATACATTTTGTCCCGAGTGCTTTGTCCTGTGCCCTGCCTGCATTTTGTCTGTTCTTTCTGCCCGGAAACAGAGAAACGTCCATGGCATCCAAAAAAAGTGTCCCTTTAGGTCAAAAGCGGTTTTAGACCGGCTAGAGAACAGCGATAGTAAATCAGAACCACTTGCAGAATTGAGTGATAATGATTCGTGGGGGAAATTCCTCATCAGACACTGAAACCGATTTTGCGACTTTGCTCAGTGATGTGCGAACTTGGCGCTCTATTTCAAATTTCAGTATTTTTGGTTTGATTATATTATTGAATTAAATGTATTATATTTTTTATGATTAAATTATAATTTATGATTTCGTGTTTCAAGTTTTATCATACCCGGATGTTTACTAGACTCTTGTTCGGACAGATTTCAGTGAGTTATTCCTAAAAATTACAGGCCTACAATAAAAAAAATACATATTTCCATGCAAAATAATGGTACCGCTTTCAGCACTAAAAATCTGAAATAATCATACCGCCGAGGAGGTTAATGGTTGAATAGAATTCAGTTTTAGTGGTCTCTGGCAGCCAAGACATCTTGCCAAACCCACCATCATGCCTCCACAGGCAAATCTCATTGATATAATAACCAACTCCTAATCCAGCCACTTCAGCTGTACACACCATATTGGTGCATTTAGGAACTTCTAAGTGGCACTGCCATTCTTTGGAAAATCAGATGGCACCTTTCTTTCTGCTCTCTTTCAGAGCATACGTGTCTGCCTTTCTTTATCTACCTGCAGTGCTGGCCCCTCCTGCCACCTACTGCTCTGCCATTGGAGGTGTGTGCCTATTTCTATATCCAGCGCAAGCAGCATTGAGGCGCAAAAAAAAAAAAAAAAAAAAAAACCCCATGCACCAAAGCTGCGTTCAGAGAGGTGCTTCTTTGCACAGTTTGTGCGCATATGAGCATCAATGTTTTCCAATAGCCAGAATAAATGAATATTCTAGCCAGTAGAATGCATTTAAGCTCAACGCCATACGCACACATACACAGACGGCATTAGAGGCATTTGGTTCTGGCAGAAAAAATCCATTACATTGGGGGCATACTTACGCCCGTGCAGGGGTGGACTGACCATTTGGAAACTCGGGCACTGCCCGAGGCCCGGAGTCAGTAGGGGGCCCTATGAGATGCCCCTGGTACCTTTTTCATAGGTTTTTTTTTGAGTTTGGGCGAGGACACAGGGACCCCATGATCCCCTATTGCTCGTGGACCCCATGAGTTGTCAGTTCGCCCCGTGTGATTGAGGTTCCAGAGATAGGCAAGCAAGTTCATTTATAGGCCTGTGACATACACTAGTTTCAAGTGCAAGATTAAAGAACATATAAACCATAATTGGAAAAAACAGTTTGCTAAAGCCCTTAGTATTTTGTGAAAAAAAATATTGCTGTTTTGATACAATTTTATCCTCTTTTCCCATCTCAATGCTGTTAATTTCCTTTGGCCTCTTTCAGTCTCTTTCCGCCTACAAGCACTCACTCTAATGGTGGAACATGCCTGAGCAAAGTGTTTTCAAACAGGTACTTGCAGCTTCCTCCAGGGGAGCATGTGACACTGACAACACAGGAGAGCAACTGGGAGGCAGGGACAGGAGTGTTGTCACAATATACTTGGAAGTGCCAAGACAAGAGCCTCAGGGATATTTTTAATGAATGCTGCAAACTGGAAAATTCTGAAAATATGACTATTGAAATTACATTAATGTGTTAAAACTTATACAAGATTTCAGTAACTGGGTTTATAACCATTTTAAAAAGGAGAAGTACAGCCAAAGCTTTTTTGGCGGTACTTCTATGGACCACAGGAGTGCAGTTCGTTCTGCACTCCTGTGACCCATTTTCAGTTGGCAACGGACCGAAGTTGGCTGACGGAACTCAGCCGGTCCAGGCTGGGGAAAGATCCCGACTTCAAAGTCAGTATCGACCCCAGAGTCTGGAGCGGCACCTGGCTCAGCGAGCCTCAGAGCCTGAGCCAGCCACTCCCTCCCCCTCCATGGGTGGCTGAGCAGACAGCGGTGACCGACAGTCTCGCTCGCTGCTCAGAGTGGAGAGAACTCTGGGATCATGCGATTGCAGAGTTCTCACCTTAGAGTTGACGGGGGACAGATGCAGCATTGAACTGATGCTGCATCCACCCAAGTACAGTGAAGGAAATACGTATTTGATCCCCTGCTGATTTTGGTGTTCCAACATGACAATGACCCAAAAACACGGCTAAGGCAACAAAGGAGTGGCTCAAGAAGAAGCACCTTAAGGTCCTGGAGTGGCCTAGCCAGTCTCCAGACCTTAATCCAACTGAAAATCTGTGGAGGGAGCTGAAAGTTCAAGTTGCAAAACATCAGCCACCAAACCCTTAAATCACTTGGAGAGGTTCTGCCAAGAGGAGTGGGCCAAAATCCCTCCTGAGATGTGTGCAAACCTGGGGGCCAACTACAGGAAATGTCTGACCTCTGTGATTGCCAACAAGGGATTTGCCACCAAGTGCTAAGTCATGTTTTGTGAAGGGGATCAAATACTTATTTCCCTCATGAACATGAAAATCAGTCATTTGTTAGACATGCATTTCTGTTGAATTTTTTGTTGCTATTCTGTCTCAGTGTTACAATACACCTACCATTCGATTTTTAGACTGATCATTTCTTTGTGAGTGGGAAAAAAATTCAAAATCAGCAGGGGATCAAATACTTATTTCCTTCACGAAGTATAAACAGGGGGAAAAAAAAGTAATGAAACCCCTTTCCGAATGATTGGGGCATCTGGATAAAAACTGTCCAGAGAAGAAAAGGGGAGCGATACCATCAGTCCTGTGTCATGCCAACAGTAAAGCTCAATCATGTGGGGGGTTGCTTCTCAGCCAAGGGAGTGGGCTCACTCACAATCTTGCCTAAGAACACAGCCATGAATAAAGTACAAAAACACCCTCTGAAAGCAAACTTCTCCCAGCCATCCAAGAACAGCTGGGCGATGAACAATGTCTTTTCCAGCATGATGGAGCACCTTGCCATAGGGCAAAAGTGATAACTAAATGGCTTGGGAAAAAAAAACTCAAAATTTTGCATCCATGGCCAGGAAACTCCCCAGACCTTAATCCCATTGAGAAATTGTAGTCAATCCTCAAGAGGCGGGTGAACAAACCCCCCCCCCCTCCCCCAATTATGACAAACTCCAAGCATTGATTATGCAATAATGGGCTGCCATCAGTCAGGAATTGACCCAGAAGTTGATAGACAGCATGCCAGGGCGAATTTCAGAGGTCTTGAAAAAGAAGAAGGGTCAACACTGCAAATATTGACACTGTGCATAAACTTAATGTAATTTTCAATAAAAGCCTTTGACACTTATGAAATGCTTGTAATTATACTTCAGTATACCATAGTAACATCTGACAAAAGATCTAAAAACAGCAGAGTTTGTGAAAATTAATATATTTGTGCCATTCTCAAAACCTTTGGCCAGGGCTGTGCAATATACAACAACAATAAAGCAAAAGCAAGCCACCAAAAATGACACTAATTGTTAATGTCATAAGCACCTCTCCGACTCACTTGTACAAGTGTGGATACATAAACCCAGGGGACAGCATACTAAACAATATGATAGTGTGACAAGAACACGCCTATCTGAAAAAGAAGGTTTCTAAAAGATCCACGCGGAGTAATATGAATTCAAATGAATTTAACAATACTTTATTTGATCACATAGATCATGGGGAGGTTAAACATAAGCACGGTGTACATATGAAAAAAATAAAATCATGTTTTAAAAACACTTAGCGTCTTCAATTAAGGGTCATCTTAGCCAACAGAGCACCATATAAGGCAGAGACCTAGTGGAATGATGAGAAAGGTGAGATTTTGATCCTAACTAATAGTAACCGTAAGGAGTCGATCGAAACGTAAAAAAAAACATTTTTCTAGAAATAATAGAGGATATTCGTCAATGAGTGAGGATGATGATGAAAGTAATAAGAGATCTGTCAGTTTTTTAGAGGAAAAAACAGGATGGCGAGAACCATGGAATACTAAAACAAACAAACAAATGAATGGGACAAAGGAAGAAAGAAATACCCCAATTGCCCTCAAAAACCATCCAATCAAAATCGAACCAGAAGTCACAAGAGGTAAAAACTAACCAAGAATGGGGGAACGAATGACCTTAAGGTAATAAATCTATCTAATTTTGTACACAAAAAAAGACACTATGATTTACTGCGGAAAGGTCTAACTTTTTCTCCTACGGACTAAAAATGGACTTGTTTGAGGTAGGTATATAAAGATTTAAACTTGTTTTTGAGAAAGATCCTTCTAAGAATTCCATATGTATCTAGAGAAGAACAAAATCCCTGTGATCTGAATTCAGAGAGAGAACAACAGGCACTAAGAGATCTTATTAGTCTCCTTGATGAGACTCCCACAGATAGTGAATTTGGGGAGGGAGATGTTTCTAACAAGTGGAAAAGACATACTAGACTTAAAACTCCCTCCAGAAGAATGCCTAATATCAGGGAAAACAAATGGCTAAGTACCTTTTTAGATCTAGTACATGATGACCTTGGAAAAATAGACTGGACAATGAGGAATGCTGATAACCTCACTAGGGGTGAAAGAATAGCCCTTAGGGAACTTAGAAATGCTAAAAACATTGTGATTAAAAAGAGTGATAAAGGGGGGAATGTGGTACTACTAGAGAGTGTGGAATATGAGAAGGAGGTGTTTAGACAGCTGAGGAGTCTGGATACATATCGCAAACTACATAATAACCCGTTTCCAAAACTGG